AAACATGGACGATTATATCCAGGTTGGTGCCAGGTTAGTAGCCCCGGAACCGGGCACGGGGAAAGGACGAGGAGCAGGAGGAGGAGAACCAGTGCAAACCGAAGATGGCGCAACGATGTTGCAATTCACCATCGGTCCAAGTTCCCTCTTCATGGTATCTACACGAATTCGTGTTCACTGCAGGAAGTGCCCTATTGGAAGACAACCGTTTGAGATCCCCCAGTCGTTCCACAACCGCGAATCAACGTGACCGTTGCGTCTTGCCGTTCTTCAATCGTGATGGAACATTCCTGTGATTTCGACACGACGGATTTACACGACTGTTGCGTCCTGAAGGATTTGACTTCGTTTTGGAACTGCTGCGTATTTTCAAGAGGAATGTGTTTGGCGCCCAGACGAGAGCCACATTTTGACAAGGAGTCGTCCTCCATTCGTAAAATTGTCACAAACTTTCAGACGGACGGGCGCGGCGCAAAGGCGAGAGCCACATTTTGAAAACCACCCGCCTTCCATCCTTGAATTTGCTGCAAACTCTTAAAACGAATTTGCGCGGTGCTGTTGCCAGAGCCACATTTTGAAAGCGGACCGCCATCCATCTCTGAAGCTGATATATTGTTAAGACGAGTGTGCGTGGCGCTGTGGCGAGAGGCACTAAGCAATACGAGCCGCCCTCCACCGTTGAAGCTGGTGCAAGATTTTATTGGCGAGCGCGCGCTCGGTTAACGCGAGAGCCACATTTTGAAGACCACCCGCCCTCCACCCGTAAAATTGTTGCACTTCTCAGGCTTCATGATTACAAATGGGCGGGAAGCCTCAGGCGAAATCTCCGGCCCGCCCTAGCGACCTGTCTGGGGGTGTGGCAGGGAGGAGTTCTCGAAGAAGCATACAACGAATCACTGCGCCCCGTGCCTTTTGGAAGCGCCCATGTGACCGAGCGTTCCTGGGAGCCTCTTGGAGGCATTTCGGGGACCTCCTTGGGGTTTTTTGCTGGCCTTTCGGGGCTTCTCGGGGGCCTCTTGGACCGTCTTAGGCCATTCCTGGCCCGTCGGATGCCGTCGGAACCCGTCTGGGGGCCTCTCTGGGCCGACTTGGGGCCCTTTTGGAATGCTCCAGGGCCGCCTTGGTGGAGGCCATCTTGGGCATCTTAATTTTTCTTGGGCCGTCTTGGGGCGCTCTTGGGGCCGTCTAGGAAACCTCTTGGGCAATCTTGAAGCGATCCTTGGTGGCTTTTGGGCCGTTTGGGGCCGTCGGGAGGCCGAAAAGAAGCAAATGCCCAAATCTTTACAACATGTAAGCAAATCAATGATGCTGGCCTGTTCGGGCCTTCCTGGAGACCCTCTTGGAGGCCTCTTGGGCCGTCTTGGAGGCATCTTGGGGGTATTTGGGCAGTCTTGGGACATCTTGGAGCCATCTTGGGCCGTCTTGGTGGGCTCCTGGCCCGTCTGACGCCGTCGGAAGCCGTCTTGGGGGTCTGTCTGGGCCGACTTGGGGTCCTCTTGGGGTGCTCCAGGGCCGCAGCGCCGCGCAAACCGGGTGGGACAGGTAACCAGGGGCTTGAGCGTGCCAGGCGCGCATGGTGGCGCCAGGTGCGCCAAGTGGACCACGCGCTCCATCCGCGCCAGGTGCTCCGCGTGCGCGACGCGCGTAGAGTGCGCCAGGCGGCTACAGGTGCGCCAATGCACGTGACAGCATTCAGCAGGCAATAAGAACCCAGACAAAACCAACGCAATGTGGCGGCGAGATGGTCAGCTCGATTTATGGTTTGTCGGTTGATGTTTTGTGCATCTGCAATACGTTTGCATCGGCGTTTGAAGCGGCTACTGGGCAACCGCACAGCGTACAAATATGACCACATACCCACCATCACGATCGAACGCCAATGCAGAGAGATCGCGGGGATGGTTTTCCAGGTGGCAAGAAGACGTCACCATTCTCCTTGTCCTCGTCCTTTCTGTTGCTCCCCCCAACGGCCCAGAAATGACCAATGACGCCCAGAAGCCCTGCCGCTGTATGCTTGACTCTCCTCCGGGATCCCTTGTGCTGCTGCACCCTCCGTCAGTGCTCTTGCCATCGCGCCCACCGCGGCCGCCGCTCGCCTGCGACACCGCTCCAGGAGGGTTCGGGGCGGCAGCCCGCCCCCCGTCCTCGCCTCATCATCCTGCTGCCTCCCCTCTTCGATCCCACTCCTCGATCCTCCTCGATTCTCCTCCTCCTCCTCCTCCTTCTCCTCCTCCTCCCCGTACCCCTCACCCTCTCACCCTGGAGGGGGCGATAAGGATGAAGGATGATGGGGCAACGAGGAAGAGGAGAAGGAGGAGGAGGAATACTTGCTTGCAGCCAAATATGGCCACAGTGCCTAAGACGGTTTCTAAACACCCTCATTTTCTTGACCATCCAATCCGGACGCAGCAGCTGCACAGCTCAGTCCGCGGTACGGAAAACGGGGTAAGGAAGGATGACGAGGAGGAGGGATCTTTCTTTCCCCCCCTTCCCCCTCCCCTCCCCCCTCCTCTGTCCGCCCGGCGCGCGGATGCCGCCGGCGCTGGCGCCCTTGGCCCGCGCCGTGGCCGTCGAAGCTGCCCGCCAGGGGCCCCTCGGCGCTCGCGCGGCCCTGGGCGGCGCCCGCGCCGGCGACGTCGTCGCCGCCCCGTCTTCTTGTCGTTTTCTTGTTGAGGGAGGATGGGAAGAGGAAGGAGAAGAATATGGAATACTGCTTCAGGCGGGCGGCACGGGGCGGGCGGCAAGGGGGGGGAGGGGGGCAACAAACAGTGGGGGTGGGGGGGGGATCGAGGACTGCAGGAATATGGCCCTGAACGCCCCCTGATCAGCTAATCCGGGCCCCAAGTTTGAGCTCTCTTTCACTCCTCGTTGATTGCCCCCCGTGTTAACGGACACCCCAACAAGGCTCCTGCCAGGTCTCAGCGCTTGCAGCGCATGGCCCCTGCGCGTTCAGCTGAAACGCATCATCATGGACCGACCGAAGCTGAAACGTAACGCCAGCGACTCGACGTAAAGAGGAGGGGGAGGAGGAGGAGGAGGAGGAGGAGGAGGAGGAGGAATATAAGTGAGGGAGAAGAGGAGGAAAGGAGCTTGTTGTGCAGATTCTGCGAAAGGCTCATGGCCTTCCCCAGGACCAGTGCGTCATCTTGACTCGCTTTTTGACTGTCCCAGGGCCTGGGGAGGGCCCCAGGAACCCGCTCTCCTGAGGACGAGAAGGAGGGACGAGAAGGGATGACGAAAAGGAAGAGAAGGATGGAGACGGAGGAGGCGGAGGCGGTGGAGGCGGAGGAGGCGGAGGAGGAGAAGGAGGAGGCGGAGGAGGAGGAGGAGAGGAGGCGGAGGAGGAGTAAGAAGAGGAGGAGGAGGAGGAGGACTTGCGTATTCGGACTTGCTGTCAGGACTCCGACCTTCGGGCCGCGGTCAGACCCCACCCTGGTCCAGCAACCGCCCCGCTGGGCCTACGGTTGACACGCCGGGGGCGCCAGACGTCACCGCGGTGCGGTCCGTCCTACCCCCCGAGGGGGGGGAGGACCGCGGAGAGGGGGAGGGCGAGGAAGGACTTCGGAGAGGGGAAATATCGCGTCCGCTTCTCTTTCAGTGGCTCTCTTCACGACACCTGCCCAACGAAGTCATGCGAACGGCGTGCTTGCTGCCCCGTCCACACCAACCAATGAGCAGGGCAAACCGAACGACCTCACTTGGGTTCTCTCAGCTCAAGACACCACCACGTGGTCGATACTCGAGCACACATACAAGGAGGCCACAGCGTCGCCCACCTGGTCTTAGCAGGCCCGGACAGCTGTCCGATGTTGTGGTTCATTCGTTCGCTGGGGGTATCTTAGGGCCTCATTGGCGTCTGTTGGGGCCCTCTTGGGACGCTGTTGGAAGCCTTGGAGGCGCTCTTGGGGCCATCTTGGGGGAGATCGCTCCAAAAAGGGGTGTGCTTAATTAGCCTTGCCCCTCTAGAGTGCTTAAGAAACGCCTCGTGGACCTGTCTGGGAGCGCTCTTAGGCACTCTTGGGGCCATCTTGGGCGTCTCTTGGGGCTCGTTGGGGCTCTCTTGGGGCTGTCTTGAGGCCTCGGAAGGCCATCGAACGAAAATAGGTGAGATGGCAACACTTATTGATTTTCCTTTGGTTTTTGGAGGATTTGGGCCTCTTGGGGCACCCCCATGGAAGTCTCGGAGCCGTCTTGGCGCGTTCTTGGGGCCTCTTTGAACACCTTGGGAGCCATGTTGAGGCATCGTAGGCTATCTTGAGCCATCTTCGAGGCCATCTTGGGCTCTCTGAGGCCCTCCAGGAGCCGTCTTGGGCGAAACAAAACCTTCTGACACCTCGCGGGGCGCCCCGTCCAGGTCCAGGGGAGGGGGCAGAGGGATGGGCCAAGCTTCCCACCCGCCCGCAAGCCGTCTTGCTCACTCCCACCCGCCCTCCCAACACATACGAAACACCCGGGAGCCAGCATATCGCGTAAGAGCTCCGCAGACGCCACGGGTTCCAGATGCACCAGACCTTGGAGGCCCAAGCGTGCCAGGCGCGCCAGGTGCGGCACGTGCTCCACGTGCGCCCAGTATTCCACGTGCACCCCAGCCGCCCCTGTAAAATACCCATACAACATGGTCGTGGGGCGGCCGCGCATGCTCCAAATGTGGAGGCAGAGTGCGTTTTGTTTGTTTCTTGGCAGGGATGGTGGGGGGGGGGGCCCTCATGGGGTTGGCATGGTTCCGGGTTGGCCGCCGGCCGGGTGGGGGAGGGGGTTTCTGAGTAGTGAGAAACCCTTCCCCGAAGGGGAAGAAGGGGGTTGGAAGAGAAAGTTTTCCAGACCACCTACGCACAGAGGGCTGGTGGGATTGTAAGGTTCACAGTCATAAACGGTGCGGAAGTCTCGGGCGAAACGCTGGGCCCGCCCTTTCGACCGGCCTCGGGGTGCGACAGGGAGGAGTATGTTGTGCTCTGCAGCTTGCCTGAGAAAGGAGGATGCGGGCGTTCTGGCTCGCGCGCCAAGGCCTGGGCTCTCCCCCCCCCGGGCTGCCCGCGCGCGCGCCGCGGGCGGTCGGCACGGCGCGGCGCGGCCAGGCCCACGCTGGTTCGTCCTCTTTCGCTTCCTTCGCCTGACCGTCGGCGTCGTCCTCGATCCCCCTCCTCCCTTCTTGATCCTCCTCCTCGATCCTCCTCCCCAGGCCCGATCCTCCCCTTCCACCTCCCGCACCCTGCCCCTCGTCATCTTCCTCCTCTTCATCTTTCTCATCTTTCTTCCCTCCTACTTCTTCCTCCTCTCGTGACGGAGAAAGTTGGCCACTGAGAAGCAGGCTTTCCGCCGTTTTCGGCCTCCCAGGACCGTCAGAAGTGGAATATGGATTTAAAGTCAGTCCTTGGGAAAGCTAAAAGCTAATGATTCAGGACCCGTGTCCCTTTTCTTTATCTGTTTCCTTCTCATCATTGTCGTCTTTCTCCTCTTTTTCATGACCCTTATTATTTGAAGGCAGTTGGCCCCTCAGAAGGCTCTCCCTCTTATTCTCCGCCACTGAGGCTACCTTTGCATCCTTGCCTCTCTGGCGCACCCTTCGCACGAAGCCTTTTGCAGCTGTCTTGGGGTCATATCGAAACCTCAGGGGGGCGTGTCAGACGCCATGCTGGTCAGTGTCAAACCCCAAGTCCCGAAGGGGAAGACGGGGGTCTGGAACACGCGTCCCGCTAGAGGACCTACGTGCGCCCCAGATGGCTCTACGTGCGCCCCAGATGGCTGGTGGGATCTGGCCCGCTTGCGCAGCGGCTTGCACCCGTCCAGGGTGGGCCCGTGGAAGTCGGCTCCAGATGCCGATCGCGCCAGAGCGGCCGAGCAGGCCACCACCACGCGTGCAATCGACTCGCAGCCATAGTCGTGAAGGAGCGGAGGGCCCAGCGAGCCCAGCCCCTTTGGGCAGAGTGCGACGGCTCGAGGGGCCACGCTGGGTCCGCGGTGGAGGCTCCCCTTTTCGAAGGCTCTGCTTTTTGAGGGCTCTCCTGGCGCGTTTCTGAGCATTCCCTCTCCTCGGGCATGCGGCCAAAACGGCGCGATGACGGGGTACCCACTGACACGCATTCGTACGGTGTCTCGTGGGTTCGCGCCAGCTCCAGCCGTCCCGTCAGCACCAGCTTTTCAGTGTTGCGGGATTTCTTGGTGATCTCCGTGCAGCATCCTGAGGCCATGCTGTCCTTTTCTCTGCAACACTGTCACCGCGCATTTTGTCAATGTGTTTACATTCCTCCTCGTGTTGCTTCCTCTTGCTGTCTGAAATAGTTATCCGCCCCTCCTCTCCTCATCATGTCTCACCTCTTGCCTGCATCCTTGTCCTCGGCCTCCCTCGTTCTACCTGTTCCTCCTCTAACCTTCCCCCTCTCGTGCGTGCCTCCCAGATCGCATCGTCCTCGTTACACCTAGGTACCCAATCCACATTATCAGTCCTCAGACCCCGGCCCTTCTCAGACTCCTCGTCCTCCTATTCGTCCTCCTCCTCATTTGAGCTCCGGCATCCCTTCACACCCTTCCTGATCCGCTTCCTCCTCCTCCTCCCCCTCCTCCTCATCCTCCTCCTCCTCCCTCAAATTCTTCTCTTCCTCCACAAGGAATGCGCGCTTCGCGAAGCCTCCTCCTCCTCCTCCTCCTCCTCCTCCTCCTCCTGATACTTTCTTCTCCGTCCTCCCCCCGCCGTCTTCGCCCCCTTCCTCCCCCTTCCTCCATTACTGCTCCCCTGCAGGCCCGCGCGCCCGCCCGGGCGGGCGTGGCGTGCCGTGCGCGAGGATGGGGGAGGCAGGGGAGCCGGGAGAGACCTTGAGGGCTGTGCCGTACATGTCGGGGGCCGGCAGGGGCGCCCTTCCACCCCATCTTCCTGGGTGCATGTGACGGGGGTCAGCCACTCCCTGGCCGATGTCGTCTGGCTGGCCTGAGTTTGGGAACCTTGTGAAGCCGACCCCCCCACCGCCCTCCGAGGACCCAGGTTCGGGACCTACCGTGCGACTGGCCGGGGTCCACGACGCGGCCCGTCCCCGATTCGTCGTGCGTGGTCGTGGTCGTGGTCGTGGTCGTCGTGATCGTGGTGGTCGTCGTCGTCGTCTTCTTCGCGGAGGCTTGTCGCAGTCGTCGGCCTCTGCCTCCTCCTCCTCTTCCTCCTACCTCCTCCTCCTTCTCCTCTTCCTTCTCTGTCCCTCCTCATTCTCGTCCCCCATCCCTCTCCTCCTCCTCTCACCTAGAGTCCCCCCTCTCTCGCCTCCTCTCCCTCTCACGATGAGAAACGCAGTTCTGGAAGAAAATCGTCCTCGATGTTTTCGGCATGGCTGCCCTCTGTCCTCGTCGTCATCGCGGAATGTCGTCAAGTTTGTTTTAGCCCGTTTGTGCATCTTGAGGGTCCGTTCTTGGTGTTGGGACCGTCAAACCCCAGTCCTGGATGAAAAACTACCCAGGACGGACCCCAGGAGGGCGATGCCATCCTCGCCTCCCAGGGCCTTCTGTGGAATGCCTTCGTCGCCACAGTTGAATCCTCCGCCTCCGCCTCCTCCTCCTCCTCCTCCTCCTCCTCCTCCTCCTCTTTCTCTCCCCCCTTTCTGTCAGGTCATCAAGGATGTTGATGTATGTTCGCCTTGTTTAGGGCCTTCTGGGACACTCATCGCCATCGCTGAACCCGCTTCGACGTTCTGGCCAGGACGCGTCACAGAGCAGGTCACGGGGTCGCTATGGAAGACCTGGGACTACCAGAAAGCCGAATAACGGCAATCGCGCCAGAGTTGTCTCTCATGTTGCGGCCTCCGCGGGCCGATTCCGGCACACAGGACCGTCAACCAAAAGTACAGGGTGAACAGCCGAGCCGCAGGAGGGCCGAGAGTTTTGGGGCTGGCGATTCAGAAAAGTCGGCCAGACGTCTTTATGGGAAGATCGCTTAGACGTCCGCCTTGCGGTGGCCAGAAAACGCCAGGGCGATTACCATTCGTGGCAATCGCCGTCGCCGCCATTTCCTAGTAGTGCTGGCTTAGTAGTGCTTCGGAGGAGGTTCCGGGGGGCTGTTCAAGATTCCAGGGGGGGTGCAGATCGTTCAAGGGAGCTGAGCGGGAGAACTGGCGCCAGTAGCGGCAGGGAGGGGCACCTTTGCCGGCGCCCGAAGATCGTTGTGTGGGTTCTGTTGAGCGTCTCCCTGATCTCCGAGGCCAGGATCTATGGGCACCACCGCTTCGGGGAGCGATGCCACTCAAAGTGTCTAGTTCCTTTGGCTGTCTGGCGCAGTGAGTCTGGAAACTTTAGGGCCCTGGGGCCCTGGGGGCCCAGAGGTTCACACCCACTGCCTCCTGAGGTTCTGTGGCATCGGTCCCCAAGGCGTCCGTGACGTGTAAATTCTGGCCTTGGATGATTTTCATGAACAACGCCATCTTGCAGCACCTCCCCAACCCGGCCACGCTGACAGCCTGGCACATGGCCGTCAGTTCGGTGCTCGTGCGGGTATTACCTTTCGTAACGCCTGCTAGTTTTGCGCTGTTCCGGGCGGATGCCCCTCTGGTGGATGCGCGTACGTTGTTGATGAAATTAGGTCCCATTTCGATGTTGTTCGCCTTGTCATTGGCAATGAGCAACCGTACTTATATGCACTGCTCCGTCGCGTTCATTCAGATGATGAAGTCCTCACACTCCGTCATCACCTACATGATGAGTGTTGCGTTAGCCATGCAGTCCTTCTCGTGGTGCAGATTTCAAGCTGTCTGCGCTGTGTGGTTTGGGGTGCTGCTTGCAGTGACAGGCGAGTTGGAATTTAGTATCATTGGATTCGCGTGCCAATGCACGTCTTCTGTAGCGGAGTGTGGAAGGGTAGTGCTCATAGAGATGTTGATAAACAGGAAGGGCATGAGAATGGATCCACTCACGGCCCTCTCGTACTACGCGCCTCTGTGCTTCTTTTTGCTTGTGCCGTTCGCCGCGTCGACGGAGATGCCCGACGACATGTCGGCGTGGTGGCGTAGGTTTGAAGAGAACGTTGGATTTATAGGGATATGCTTAAATGGCATGCTTGCTTTCAGCTTGAATATAAGCGTCGTGCTTCTCCTTCAAAAGACTAGCGCAGTGACGTACATCCTTTGTGGAGTGATGAAGGATATTTTGATAATTGTTGGCTCGGTATTCTTCAGGGGAACTACAATATCTCTGCAGCAGGTCATCGGCTACACAGTGGCCGTTGCCAGTGTACAGGTCTTCAACCAGGTCGGAAAGAACCCCGACATATTCGATGAGAGAGGCATCATCGGCGGACTGCGGTGCATCCTTGGATGGAAAGTTGCAGCAGCTTCTGGCGGGGCCAGCAAGCGTGACGAGTGAGGAGGCTCTGGCGACCTGTTTGAGTGGCCAGGTTGACGGTGCAGCAGCAGGTATTGGCGAGCAGTCTCAGAGACCACCACGAGCATGCCATTGCGCAGTAGTTAACCATTACTTGACGCTTGAGCAGCCCTGCGGTTGCGATGCCTCCTCACTCGTCTCGCCAGTCTTCCTTGCCTCCTCGCGTTTTTCTGGACTCCTTGATACCCGCTCCTGCTGATCATCATATTTGTCCTCCTGTCCTCATACCTTTCCACCTCCAGAGTGCCCCAGGGCCCCCCAGAGGCCCACGGAGACCCAGAGAGGGCTTGAAACACGGCTGATTGTCCACAGGTTTCGCTTCTCGACATATTCTTCGTCATCGTTTTCCTGCTCCTCGTCGCGCCCGTGACCTCGTCTCGCCGTCGCGTCCGCGATATTCTCTAAGAGCGCAGCGAGTCGAGTCGACAACCCAGCTGTCGAAACTGGAGCCAGGGAGGCCGATGCCCACTCCCTCCTACTGCTCGGGGCCCTCTGAGGCCCCTGGGGGCCTCCAGGCACCTCGTCCGCATCCCCAACTCCACGCTCGCAAGTGTTCTCCTCTTCGGCTCTCGCTCCCAGCGGCTCCTCCTCGAATCTCCCATCCTCGTCTCTATCGGTTCCTTCCCCCTCCCTCCTGGGATCACCCAGGCCATCCGAGAGCCTGCAAGAATCTGCTGCAGTCGTTCAGGATCCCTTCAGTAGACAGAGCGCTTTCTGCTGCTGCTGGCAGGGGGGGAGGTCCAAACCTCCCCCCACCCCCTCCCCAAAACTAAGTGGTGTCCGGACGTCCCCACCCCTTGGAAATCATTCGAAGGATTCCAGGCCCCCTCCCTGCCAGAGAACTTATTTGACGGGTTCCAGAAGCTTTCTCCCCCTGGGAAAATTATTCGAGAGTCCCAGATTCCCCACCCCCAGGCGACGACGACGACGACGTTGACGACGATGGACGCCAATCGCCGACGCCGAAGCCGACGACGACGCCGACGACGACGACGACAACGACGACGACGACAGCGACAGCGATGGCGACGACGACAACGATGACGACGACGAAGCCGAGGAGACGATGACGACGACGATGACGTCGCCGCCACCAGCAAGCGACGACGACGACGATCGAGCCCTAGTGTGATGCGATAAAAGCTGGATCGAACCCTAGTAGGTTTCTACCGTGTAACACCCGCACGGGTGAAGCCAATTGGATGCGATTCATTGGTTCATTATGTGGAGTTCCGTGCTGTCCTCTCCTCTCGCGTCCTTTCGCCGGAAGTTCACCCCCGAGGCTGTTGGAAGTTGCCTCCTGCTGTTCCTTCTCCCCTCCCTACCTCTGGCGTGATGGACTGTTGCATATCTTGAGGCTTCGTTGGAACTCCGAAGGTCTCCTGGGTCTTCCTGCGGCCTCCTGGGACCTACACTGGCCTACTGTGCTTCCTGGTGCCTCCTGGGGCGACCTAGGCCCTAGGCCCTCCTGGGACCTCTTCAGAGTGTTCCCAGGAACCTCTGGGATCTCCTGGGGCCTGGGTTCGCCTGGCACCTTCCCAGAGCTCCTGCCCCAGGAGATCCTCCAAGGGCATCCAGCGGTGCCCCAAAGACTCCGTTCCTGGGTGCGGTCCCCCACGCTGCTATGCGATTGGGCTTCCCCGGACCGTTCTGGTGGTCCTTCTAAGAAGCCCATCGCGAGGCCTAAAAAGTGGCGCCACTTTCGAGGATAGGAGCCTGACCGTTAACAAAGGGGGCTCGGTGAAAATGAAACAAGTGACGACAGTGTCGCACGTGAGGCCCAAAACCGTTCGGGGTATATCGCGGCGCGAAGCCCTGTTCCCCATGAAGGGGTAGTTGGTTGGATGGGTGGCTGATTGGAGGGTTGGCTGGGTGGCTGGTTGTGCTGGCTGGCTGGTTGGATGGGTAGGTTGGCAGTTGGCAGGTCGAGCTGGTAGGTCAATTTGTCCGATCGAAGATGAATCGAGCCCTACTAGGATTCTATGAGGGCTGGACGCAGCCCTTGTAGGATTCCAGTTGAGTTTTGTCGAGCCCTGGCAGGATATTATGAGTGTGGAAACCGATCAATGGTAAGGGGGCATGTTGCCCAAAATTTTCCAGATGTGTTCCTAGTGTTTTTGAAATGTGTTTGGGATGTCCACCTCCGCGGGGGATTTGTCGGGAACTTTCTCCTTTCCAAGCATTCAAGCCACATTCAAACCACATTCAATGTGTGTTTATGCCTTTGAATGTGAGACCGGCAAACATTGATAACAACATAGCTTAAACATGGGTAATACATTTCTGTTTGTGAATGCATTTTCAATATTTAAGAAACCACGTGATCTTTCAATGATTCCAAACTGTCCCGGGAAATCCCCCTGGCGGAGGGGGGACATCCACAAACCATCCAAAACACGTCAAACATCAGTAATTCGGTGATCGGATTGCTAGACCCTTTATAGCCATGGCATCGACAATGCTACGAGACATGGAGCCAACTGTATAGGAATGTGGTATGAATATTGGTAGCGGGACCCCACCTCACCTGGATCCAGCTTTGAGTTGATTTTCAGTCGAGCCCATTAGGCCTCTGTGAGATCTGGATTGGCCTAGCACGATGTTCTTAGAGATGGATGGCGCCACTGCAGGTTTCTATCAGAGCGGGATCGAGCCTTAATAGGAATCGATCAGAGCTGGATCCAATCGTATCCGGTTTTCTTAGAGCTCGGGCTGGATCGACATCTAATGGCATTCGGATCGAGTTGTGCTCAAGCAAGCATCGTAGGATTTATAAATCGCTGAATGGACCCGTGGCCAGATTCTACCTGAGGTGGATCAAAACTTCTTTGATTTCATTCATGTTGGGCTGGGTTTGCGTAGGATTCCATGAGAGCCGGATCCAGATGTGATCGGATTCCACAAGAGGTAATCCACCCCAATTAGGATTCCAGCAGAGTTGAAAAGAGCTTCATCTGGATTCTATATGAAATTAATATGGGCTTAGTAGGATGCCATAAAAGCTGGATCGATCCAGTATTCGGATGCCGTTTGAGCCGGACCCATCCCCAGTTGGATATTGTGGGAGATGGATTGAGTCTTCCCATGATTTCATGAGAGCTGGATCGCCACATTCCATTTTATCAGAGTTGGGTTCAGCCCTAGTTACGGGGTTCTTTTCGAGCTGAGCCGGGCCACAGTAGGATTCTACCATACCTGAATCTAGTAGGATTCGATCAGAGGTAGAGCAAAAACGAATATGAGTTTGTTGGAACTGAATCAACATCTCATACGATCATACCTTAGCTGGGTCGAGCCCCATCAGCATGCTATCAAAGCAGGCGCCGGGCGCGGGCGCCGGCGTCATGTGTGCCGCCGTCGCCGTTAACGTTGTCGCCGTCTTTGGCGTCGTTGTCGCTTTCGTCGTCGTCATCGTTGTCATCGTCGTCGTCATTGTCGTTGTCGTTGGTGTCGGCGTCGGCGTCGGCGTCGGCGTCGGCGTCGTCGTGGTCGTGGTCGTCGTCCGTCGTCGGTCGTCCGTCGTCCGTCGTCAGTCGTCCGTCTTCGCCGTCGTCGGCGTCGTCGTCGTCGACGTCGTCGTCTTCTTCGTCGTCGTCCGCGTCGTTTCCAGGCGGCGGCGTCGTCGTCGTCACCGTGGTGGGAGAGGGGAGGTTCTGGGTCTTTCGAGTAATTTTCGGGCGTGGGGGTGGGGACGGGGACCCCTCCGAACCATTTTCCTTGGGGGGGGTCTGGGCTTCCTGGTTTTTTAGGGGGGAGTGAGGGGGATTGGTAAGGGGGCAAGGGGGGGGGCCCTGCTTTCTGACGCCCATCTATACAAATTGTTCGGGCCAGCGACGGTGGATGGCGCTCCTTCGTTCAGTAGAATCCATGTGAACCTCCTCCTCCCCCCTGGCCTCGCGCGTCCCGTCCTCAGACATCCGGCACCTCGGAAAAATCGAGGCGGCCAGTCTGTCGCCATTGTTGGCCCCTGGTGGCTGGTTTCGGGCTTCGTGGAGTAGTCCATAGCTCCGGCTGTCCACGCATCGAACAAATCGAAGAGCTGGAGTTCTTGGCCCTGAATTTAGCCGTCCTCTCACGCGCGGGGAAGCCTGGGTTCTGGGCCAGTTCCTTCTCTCGTGTGCTCCGCTGGTTGGCCCCTTCTCTTGGTCTTCGCGCGCCTCTGACTTTTCGCTTCTCTTGGGAAGCTCGGGGACCTCCTGCTTGAATTCATGGTGCAGCACCGTCGTGATGGAAAAAAATGGTTCACGGGAAACGTACATATCCACGTCCACGCCCGTGCGGCCGGTTCTCCACAATCCATGGGATCGCATACCGCTCCATGGGATCGCGCCTCGGCGTCCAGACCGCGAGGGCTTGGATGTGGCAATGGTCATCGCCCGTCTTTTGAAAAATGATGCCGCCCGCCAGACCACCGACTTCGTGACTGCGTGTTCACAGACAACTTGATATCTAGACCACTTCCTGGGTGCTGGCTCGACATCCCGAGTAGTTTTTGGTTTGTCCCTGGACCCTCTGAGGGCATCGTGAGGCAGAAACTTGTCAACAACCTTCTGTCAGGTTTTTTCCACAACTCGAGTAGGTGCTTGGTCTTGGGTCAAAAGTCACTCCTCGGCTGCATTCTGGGTCTCCTGGCAAGAATCCCGATCCTCGATCCTTGAAGTTCGGTCTTCGCTGGCTTCCTCTGGGCTTCTCGCTCGGGGAGAGCGAGCGGCCACGCTTGGGACCGTCCCGCCCCGCGCTGCCAGGGCGAGCGGCTACGCCTGGGACCGTTTCCGCCTCGCGCGGCCGGGTGGCCAGACCAACGGATTGGGGGCCCATCGTCCGACCCCGCCCGATTGCTTGCTGGCTGCGAAGATCGAACGGCTGTGACTTTTTTGAGGGCCCAGGACCCCTTCCGCATCGTGGCAAGATCACGACGTAGAGAGCTCGGCCATTTTCGGCCTCCAGGAGCCCTCACCGGGCCCGTCAAACGACAGCTTGGGATGAAAATCCTGTGCTGGGAAGCATGGTCCTGGGAACAGGTGCAGAGTTTCGGGGGGTCCACAATGTAAAAATATCACAACGTCGGATGAGGTCCTCCTCCTCCTCCTCCGCCTGTTCCTCCTCCTCCTCCTGTTCCTCCTCCTCCTCCTCCTCCCACTATATAGAACGATTCTCGCCCACCGGCACCGGCACCGGCACCGGCACCGGCACCGGCACCGGCACCGGCACTGGCACCGGCACCGGCACCGGCACCGGCACCGGCACCGGCACCGGCGCCGGCACCGGCACCGGCACGGGCACTGGCACCGGCACCGGCGTTGGCACCGGCACCGGCACCGGCACCGGCACCGGCACCGGCACCGGCACCCGTACCGGCGCCGGCGCCTGGTGCGCCGGCAATGGCACCGGCACCGGCACGGGCACCAGCGCCGTCGCCGTCGCCGGCGCCAGCACCGGCATTGGCACCCGCACCCGCAACCACACCGGCACCAGCACTGGCACTGGATGAAAAACATCATTGACATTGAACATCATGACATTTCCCAAACAGTGCTTGCACTTAAGGCGGCCTTCTTTCTTTCCTAGTAGCTGGGTCTGAGGGGCGGTCTGGCGGCTCTCTCCTCGCCGTTGCCGCCCTGTCGCCGCCCGTCGTCTGGGCTTGAGGGGCGGTCTGGTTTTTCCGTCCTTGCCGTCGCCCCCCCTTGCTGCGTCGTCGCCGCCCGTCGTCTTGGCCTGAGGGTCGGTCTGGCGGTTCCTTGCTCGCCGTCACCGTCCCGTCGCCGCCTCCTCGTCGCTGCCCTGTGGGCCCCCCCGGCGGTTGCAATCCAATCGGTTGCAAGCCAATCAAGTGCAAACCCAGTGGAATCGATTGCAGTCCAATCAATGTTTAAATTATGCAAACGGAGTTCCCCACATAAAGATATTAACAGTTTCGTGGGACCCATGGGGTACGACAACATCCACACGAAGGAAAAGCTCATCGAACGAGTAAGTACGCACGAAATGGCAGACGAAAGAAAGGAGGAGGGAGGACAGGTGCTCAGGAAACGAAGCCTTGCAAATAGTACGGGTTCTTGATACCCTCTTCGCTCTGGCGGGGCCCCGCTGGAAGGGGGGAGGCCTACGAAACCTGGTAAAGAGTAATGCTGTCCGCGACCCTCCTCGTTCAAGCGAGTCCTCCTCCTCCTCCTCCTCCTCCTCCTCCTCCTTCACGTCGTCCTGCTCCTCCTCGTCCTCCTCATCCTCGGCATCATCATCATCATCATCACCACCACCAGCATCATCGTCGTCATCATCAGCATCATCAGCAGCATCGTCGTCACCCCGTCGTCGTCGTCGTCATCATCAGCATCATCGTCATCATCATCAGTATCAAAATCATCGACATCATCATCATCATCATCGTCAGCATCATCCGTAGCCATTTTGGCTCAAGGCTAAACGTTACGAAGGGCTATAGACGCCCGAGGCGTAGCGATTAGCTTTGGCGGTTCGCAACTTCTGGGTCGAGCAGCTCGGCGGGTGCAGCTACTCGTCCTCTTTCTCCACCACAGGCCCTGTTCCCCACTCGCGCTCCCAGCGTCGCGGCCATGGCTGGAGCTGGCGAGGCCACTCCTGCGTGGGCGCAGACCTTGCTCAATGGTATGACCAGCATGAACTCCCGCATGAATGACATGCAGAACTCGGTCAACCAAAGCTTCGAGCAGATGGGCTCTGACATCAGTGCAGCGGCAGCACGTCTCGACATCTTGGAGGCCCGCATGGAGGCGGTTCAGACTGAGGCTGAGGACTCCATAGATGCAGCTGACTTCACATCGCAGCGCAACCAGAAGATCTTGCAGCTCGAGGCCACTATCAATAAGATCCAGGAGAAGATTGAGACCATGGGCAGTCAGCAACACGTGCAGGACCAGGAGCAGCCACCACATCGTCGGCAGCGGGTACTCAGCCCAACATCTTCGCGCTCGGCGGCTGCCTCAGGATCCACTCGGATTTCATCTTCACGTACTTCATCGCAGCAGGAGAGTGCATGCAGGCTGGTTCTTCTGGGATTCCCGAGGCCTATGATGGCCAGTACTTTGCGCCGAGCGGCCGAGGCGGTCCGCTTGCAGGCGATGCCACAGGGCAACCACGGGCAGTGCATCATCAAGGCATTTGATATGAATCGCAAGGCTATCTTCGAGTTCGGCGACGCGTTGCAGGCCAGCGACTTCCTCGGCAACTTCGATCCCAACACTACGTTTCCCGACCCTCGTGGAGGCATCCTCTCTCTCAAACTTCGTCGCGATCTGGATCTTCGCAGCCGACGCTTATTCTTGGCGATGGGCAAAATGCGCAACAAGCTCGAGACCATCCTTCACGCTACCAACTACACTGTCGGCTCGAACGGCCTGGGCGGGGACATCTACGTGCTCCGCAGCCAGGAGGGCCCCGTGCGCGTCGCCCACCTGACGCCAAGTGACGTTTCGGACGAGATCCACGTGGACTTAGAAACTTCAGCACTTCCCGAATTTGGGCTGGAGGCCCATGCAGACTCGCTGCTCGAGGCAGCGAAGGTGGCTCTCAGGCGTCCCTTTTGACCCGTCCGAAGATGGCCATGATAGTGAGTCTGACTTAGAGCCCTGGTTAAACTGTATTCCTGATTCGTCTAGTAGCAGCGATTCTGATAGTAGTTGTAGTAGCAGTAGTAGTTCTGACAGCTCCTCTAATTCGTCTAGCAGCTCTTCTTCCAACTCTAGTTCCATCTCCCCTGCTGTTGCTGTTGCTCCCACTATGCCGTACATCCCGATCAACAGTTTCTCTATCGTCAGTTGGAATTCTCATTGTCTATTTACTGCTGTGGGTGGTGGGGGACCTCGTGCATCACGTCGTTACTCTCAACTCCTGAAATTGGCTACTCGTCACAGCATCGTCTGTGTGCAAGAGACTCATGGCCATCTTGGGGACATAGAAGAGCTCCAGTCGCAGCTTCGAGGGTGCTCCATAGGATATTCTATGCATGTGGAAGCTAACACTGGAGGTGTCATGACTATCGTACATGAGCAGCTTGCCCAGCTTTTCACCTCTATCTCTCATTCTCCTGTTGTCCCTGGTCGTGTGCTTCTTACTCGGTGCATTGGTCGTGGTACCATGTTGTGCATTCTTAATTGCCATATGCCTAATACTAGTGATGGGACGCCCTTGTATCGCCGCATCTTGGGTGATATCTGTAACGCTTTGCCGCCTGCCACTGCTTCCTTCAACTTGATTGCTGGGGACTGGAATTTTACCCTTGAGGAGGAAGGAAGGATGGGAGATGATGGGCATTCTTGGCACAGTGGGGACCGCTTACATCATGATGTTTTCCGTGCTCTGTGTAGTTCCTGGATCGAGTTTGCCCAGGAGGAACCCACGAGGCAAGGCTGGAACAATTCCCGTGAATCTCATTCGTCGCGTCTGGACAGGATCTACTCGGACCTCCCCAGCCCCCTCCTCCAGGACTATACGATGCAAGCGAAAGTGTGGGGTAGCCTGGATCGTTCTGGACCCTCGGACCATCGGCCGCTTATTATTTCGTTTCAGAAGTTCGACCCGACCAAGTCTGCTCCAGCTATTCCTCTTTTCGTGGCTAACTCTCCTGAATATAAGCTGCTTACCTGGCAGCTGCTGCAGGATATCCCCGACTCTTGGCATCCACTAGTGCGGCTGGAAGCTGCCAAGCAGATTTTTGTTGAGCAGGTTGGTCCCGCCCGTCAGCAGATTAAGCACCGTCGTGCGCGCACCTGTGCCGAGAAACATTATTGGACTATGCATGCCCTTCGTGGTGTACGATATCGCAAGTTCTTTATGTGTATCACTGCTCTCCGCACTTACCCCGATCTTCTGCCCTTCTTCGACGTTGAGACAGAAACTTGTAATGACCTTCCGCAGCTGTGTGAGCACGCGCGTGCACTACAGGAGGCCACGATTCAGGAGACTTTGAACGGGTTGGAGACCCTCGTCGCAAAGAGCCTGGAGGAGGAGGCATGGATTCAGAGGCAGGCGGGGAGGTGGAGGCGTAAGAAAGAGATGTGGAGTAAGCTTCGTCGTCGAGTTTTTCTGCTAGGTGTACTGAACGAGGACGGCGAACCCTGCCGATCGCTTGACGAATCAGGCGCTGCTCTTGCTGCGCACTGGGGGCAAGTATTTAAGCATGTACCTGAAGACAGGTCTTTGTGGGAGGATGTTGGCCAGTTTATCCCGAAGATTGCAGAGCTTGAGGTTCAGCCCACCTTTTTCCTGGACCAAAACACATTCGACGATCTGATGCTCGGTCGCAAAAACACTGCCCCTGGGCCCGATGGTATACCATACTCCTGTTGGCGTTGCACACCTGCCTTGGAAATCCTATATGGTGCTTATACACACTTATACCAC